GCTGAGCAGAACACAGGACCGAGCCATGCCTTGAAGCCAATACCCCAACTTGTCACTTACCTGAGCCAGCACGTCCTCCATTTCATTAATCCAGTTGGGTAGGTTTTCGGCCACATGCAGAGGAGAGACAGCCGGCCATCCGGCTCCCCTGTTTGGTGTCCTCAGGGCACCTTGCATTTTCCCCGTGACAACTCTAGCACCCTTGCTTGTTAGGGTCCTATCTGACTCTCCCACCAAAACAGAAGTCCCGCAAGAGCAAGGTATCTGCCTACCCCCCTCCCAAGCCAGTGAGGAGCATGGCTCCCTCCCTCCCATCCCGGGGTCTCCACTCAGGTGAGAGACCCTGACCACCCTGATCACCCTGTCTAAAACAGCCCTTCCCATGATGCTCTGCTTCTCAGGCCACGTGGCTTCTCTGCGGAGCAGCTCTCCTGTTGATTGATGATATTTCCTATAGATTACATGTTTGTTAGTGTCCCATCTGTCTCCCCTGAGAATGTAAACTAATGAAACTCACATGGAGGGAGCAGGGACCTTGTTCCTCAGGGTCTGCACTGCAGAGCGCAGAACCTAGTAACCACGGTGAGCGAGAGAGTGAGTGTGCCGAGTTGGCATGGGAATGAGAAGGGATAATGGATGCAACCAGCTTAATAAAGCTCCTGGGTGAGGTTAAGGGCTCGATCGTGGTTAGCTGCTCTTTCTACCACCCCTGTCACTGGAATGACCCTGGAGTGCTAACCCCACCCTAGCTCTGTGCCAGGCACAGTGAGTGACACAGCTAACCCATTCAGAGCTAAAGCTAAGAGCTCTACATGTATTCTTTCACATAAGCTTCACAACATCCAGAGGTAGATATTATTATTATCTCTGGCTTACACATAAGAAAGGGAGGTGCAGAGAGGTAAATTAACTTGCCCATAGTCACACAGCTAAGTGGCAGAGCCAGGGATGCAACTGACAATGTGTGGCACCTGCATCCTTCACGTTAAACAGATGGTGCCTTGTGGAAATAAGCAAGGCAGTCTCCCCACCCAGAGACTGGACCAGCGACATGAAACAAAATGAGTGCCCACACATAATATTTAGTTAATTACCTATTCATCGCATCTGGGGGGATGGGAGCCACTCTGGGGCACAAAAGGCCCAACTTACAGTCTCCTCTCCATGGTGGGCATGGCTTTACCCTCATTTAAGCTAAAAGGTCACGTAAGCCATAATTTTAGCATCCTGCAACTCCAGAGGCTCCCGTGGAAGGGCGGCCTTACCCAAGATCTTTTCCTTCGAGGACTGGAAGTGGAGGAGGTGAGAGTGCAGACACAGAGGCAGAAGGCAGACTGGTGGTTACATTCAAGATTATACTTGAACTCATTTATAAAGTGTCACATGGAAAACGGGCCTTTAAATGGCAGCCGATGCTCCTTCGGGCTAGCATTTCTCTCCTCCCCATGCTTGAGAAGTGTCCCCGCTGCACCCTCTCTCTCCACTCACCTCTGAGCAGTGGACAGGCACCTTCCAGAGGCACCAAGAATTACATCAGAATTACATTTCTCTTGCTCTCTCTCAGGCAAGTGAAACAGTTCACTCTCATTGGTTCCCAGAGGCCCAGGGGGCCAGAGGAGGGTTAATAATAATAATAATGATACTGTGGGGCGCCTGGGTGGCTCAGTCGGTTAAGTGTCCGACTTCAGCTCAGGTTATGATCTCATGGTTCGTGGGTTCGAGTCCCGCGTCGGGCTCTGTGCTGACAGCTGGCTCAGAGCCTGGAGCCTGCTTCCAATTCTGTGTCTCCCTCTCTCTCTGACCCTCCCCTGCTTATGCTGCCTGTCTCTTTCTCAGAAATAAATAAAACATTAAAAATTTTTTTTAAAAAAGTGGTTCGTAGAATCAAGTTTATAAAAAAATAGTAATAATAATAATGATACTGTGTCTTCCCAGCCCACACTTCAGCAAGGAATGCCTGCAAATATTATCTTGCCTCAGCCCATATTATTAACCGGTAACTGAGCTTTAAGTCCTAAGTCACAGGTTGGAGTGAGGCCTCTGAGGTTAGTGAAATCCGAAAGCTGCTTCTAAGAATGGCTAGTTCAAAGGGTTAGCCCGCTGGCCCTCCCTCCTGTCTAAAGGTCTCAGTGGCCTCACTTATAAGATCAGCTCAACAAGGGTAAAGGCAAAGGAGCCTGATAGATCAGTTAGCAATGCTCTGCTGCTGGTAAAAGAACACCTGAATAACACACACAAACAGAATTGATTCAGTGGCTCAGTGATGTGAGGGCAGTGTCCATGCAATTTTCTTGTCCTTTCCCTCATAGTTATAAAATGGCTGCAACAGCTCCAGGCATCATGCCCACATTCCAGGCAGGATGAAAGGCAAAGGAGAGTTAAGGACACCTCTACCTATCCCTTTTACCAGAAGAGCAAAAGTTTTCTCAAAAACCTCAACCCCACCCCCAGCAAACTTCCATATACATCTCATTGGCTAAAATGGGATCACATCAACACACCTAGCTGTAATCTAGATTAATCCTCACCAGAGAAAAATGTTGGGCAGAGGTGCTGGATAAACCAGCTAACAGTGCAGGGTTGTGGAATGAGCACTCACCTGGGAGTCTTCTAACTCCCGGGTCTATGACCTCAGTTTCCTCACCTATGAAATGAGAAGCATTGAACCAGATGATCTATAGCTCTGACACTGAGTCAGTTTATGACTTCTACAGAAATAGCAGGGGCTGCCACAGAAAGGCAACAGGCTATAATCCCCAGTTCCTTGCTCCACTCTGAAATTATAGCCCCAAGCACTAGAGGCCTTAGAGCCTGGTCTAAGAGGAAAAGAATTATGGCCATGGGGAAATCAGAGGGACTGGAGGCTCTGGGCTTCTTTCCTTGTTCATACTGCTAATTCCCCCAAGGGTTGGGTGTGTCCAGGATATCTTCCAACTGAAACTCATATAACCTAAACTAACAGTAGAAGCAATAACAATAATACCAAACATTGAGTAAAACTTTACTATGCACCAGACACTATGCTAAGAGCTTCACCTCCATTATCTTTTCAGATCCTAAAAATGTCATAGTGTAGCCATTCAATAGATGAGTAAACTGAGGCTCCAAGGCATGCCCTTGCCCAGCATCACACAGCTATGAAGTGGAGGAGCTGGGGTTCACTTGACATTGATCCTCTACCCACCTGTTGTCTTGCTATCCTTTTTCCCATGACAATCCTATGGGATATACTCTGTCCTCTTCTAAAAAAAAAAAAAAAAAATCGAGTCCGCGACTTTAGATGCTTGGCCTAAAGTGACCAGCTGGTCACTGCTAGGGGTCATATTGGAAAAGAGCACTCACTCTGGGCCACATTCGAGCCACGATGCCATTCTGTGCAGGAGTCTGCCTGGGCAAAAGCCTCTGGGAGGCTTCTCACTGTTGGAGCTGTCCTGTATAAGCCCTGCCAGTATGGGAGGTTCCAGAAAACCCATCTGTGTGGACCTTGGTTGACCTTTCCTGCTAACTCTGGAATTTGCCTTTGAAGTAATACCCTAGGAGGGGCATCCTGGGTGGCTTTTGCTCCTTTGGAGGGGGTTCTTGTAGAAAGTATGGGTGTGGGAGGAGCTGGAGGCTAAGAGCACAGGTCAATGTCTATCTAAGCGGCTGTTCTGGGGCTCAGATTGGGCAGTGATGGGGGTGAAAAGAGGCTTTGAGCCCCACAGCCCCCCTCTGTGACTCTCAGTTCCCACAGGAGAAGGCAAATCGGGTGATAGCCATGGCTTCCCAGAAGATAAAACCCCAGCACACTGGTCCGAGGAATTGTGGAAGCCTGACTCTTTGGGGCTACCATTTACAGCTGTGCAGCGTGCAGATTCCCCTGCCAGATACGGTGGCCCTGCGAGTCTCCCCTTAAATCCCACAGCAGATCCACGGCCAGGCCACACTCAGTTCCCAGGTGGAGGAGACAGAAGCACTTCTTGGGAGGATGCAATGTCACCTGGGATGCCCTCAGGAGTCAAGAAGAAGCTCAGGAGATCTGCACGGCCCACGTCAACACCCCTGCTTCAGTGTACATATCCCCACCCGCACATAAAGAGTGGCCCCGATCAAGGTGGGCTCCTGGCAAGACCCTACCTCCCTCTCCCCTGGCCCAACACGCACCAACTCATGACCACGACGCTACTCGCGTTATCTCCTTATCCCCAATTGCATCAACCCCCATGAGCAGCCCAGGATCTCCAGTCCACTCTCATCCTCTAGATTCTTCTTCACTCGGTCTGCAGATGGAGAGGCCCCTTCCCTACTTTCTTTTTCTCCACAGCCCTCACCCCCACTATGAAACTCTGTTTTACTTATTGATTTGTCCACGCTCTGCCTCCCACATCATGAAGGGAAGTTCTATGGGGGCAGGGATGTCACTGCCTTCTCCTCAGTATCTTGATGGGTCCCAATACATAGGGGAACGTCAACACACGGTGGTCAGACAACCCAACGAATGAACGGTGAACGACCGCAGTAATGGATGCCTAACTAAAAGCAGCCTACAGAAAAGTGAGCCTTCTCTTATTTTACATCACAAAAAGTGCAGAGGACAATTGCTCCCGGGTTGGATAAGTTGGCAGCTCCATGATGTGAGGGAGCCAGATAGTTTCTGGATGGTTCTCTGGGCTTTCCCATCATGCTTGCAACACAGCTGTCCCAGCTCAAAACATCACATCAGCACGGACACCGTCCAAACGCAGGCAGGAGCAAGTCTCCGCAGGCCCCTCCAATCGTCTTTAAGAACGAGGAAAAATTTCCCAGAAGCCCCCGCAGCCTCATTGGGCAATTTGCATCACGTGCCTATGCTGCAACCCGCCATTGGCCAGCAGAAAGGGAGGACGTGTTCCATTACACCAATCAGCGTTCAGCGCCGCCCCCCACGCTGGGGAGAGGCCCGGAAGCTGAACTGAGCCTGAACACAGTAAGAAGGGAAGCGGGCAGGCGACCGCCCGGGGAGGACCGCCGGGGAGGACCGCCGGGGAGGACCGCCGGGGAGGACCGCCGGGGAGGATCGCGGGAAGCCGACTCCGCCTGCGTGCTCCCGGCGCGTTGCTGCTGCTCACGCTCCTGTGCTCCTCACAAGGCCCTCATGAAGGAGGATGGCCGAGAAGGCACTGATGTCACCAGGTACGGGTGCTGGACATCCAAGTCAAGGCATCTCCCCGAGGAGGGTGCCTCGTGTAGAGGACCCCTTTCCTTGGGAGAGCCCCACATCGCTCCCTCCTTCTCCCCGCCCCCCACATGCACCTTATTCTTTGCCACATCATTACTCCCCTCCATCAGGCAGAGCAATGAGGCAAGCTGGCTCCCCTCCCCCCACCTCTTGCGACAGCCAAGCACCAAGCTCAGGGATAGGAGGCCAGTCATCCTTTGAGATAGCCAATGCTCATGGCTGTCACTGAGCACGGGACCGAGTGGGTGGTGCCTGCTGAGTGAGTGCCAGCTCCATGGCTCAAAAGGGAAAAGGGAATGGCTGAAGCCAGGACCAAAGGGAGTTCGACATTTCCATCCAGTGGGAATGTGATCACTACGGAACGGACATGTTCAACTTCATTTTCCCTAGGCCCAGCAAGACTCCAGCTCCCCCCTAATAGGGCTGGCCCTGCCGCCCCCAAACTGTTCTCGGCAGGACTCCTTCGAACGTCCTAGGGCTCCACACGTCCACGAAGTCCTGACACCAAAATGCCAGGGCCCCTTAGCTCAGCCTGTCCCATCCTGAATCTAGTCTTCAGACTTGATGTAAATTACAAACTCTCCAAGTCCTGCCTGTGAAATGAAAGCAATAAACCTCTAGTGCGGATTCTTCTGAGTACTTCGTGGATCACAGAATTAAAAGCCATTGGCCCAAGGTAGGTGTTCAGTAAAAGTTCTACTTCCGTGCCCCTCCCCTAGATGGCAGTGTCCACCCTGCAGACAAGCCTACATGATCCTGACACTGGGAATCAGCGATCACTCCCCTAAATTTGTTAGGATGCTCCGGGCTACAGGTAATAAAAGCCCTGACAGAACGTGGCTTAGATGATAAGGAATTTATTATCTCACATGACAAGTAATCCACAGTCTAGGAGTAGAAAATTCAGTGCTTCAATACCACCTTCAAGGACCCAGGTGTCTGCCTACTTCCTATTCTGTTATCTTTCACAGGCCTTAAAGGCCCATGAAGGCTGCAGCACTTCCGGCCGTCATGCAACACATTCAGAGAAAAAGGAGCTTCCTACCATGTATCTTTTTTTTTTTTTTTAACGCTTTCCAGGATAAGAAACAACAGATTTCCGATCTGTCCCTTGAATCAGGCCAATCATGGTCTCCTCAATGGGGCTAAGAAAGAGCCCAGCATCTAATGAAGCACATAGTTCCCCCAGGCAAGGAAGCAAGGTGGAGGAAGCTTTTGGCTGAGGCACCAACAGGGTCTGCCACACATCTGCTTCCCGGGGCAGCCCTTCCCACCACTACTTGCTGCACTAAAGAATCACCCAAGCTGATGGCCACATTCTCAGTATCCTCATTCCGCCTGTAGCACTGGTTCTCAAATTCATGTGCACCTTGGAATCGCTTGGTGAATTTTTTTTTTTTTTTTTTTTAATATTTGATGCCTGGCTCTCCATCCCAGACATTCTGAGCTTGGGGATTATTTAAATCACCTAAGATGAGCTGTTTGGGGAGTGACAGAGAGAGAGAATCTCAAGCAGGTTTCAGGCTCAGCGTGGAGCCCAACGTGGAGTTCGATCCCACGACCCTGGGATCATGACCTGAGCTGCAATCAAGAGCTGGATGCTTAAAGTGACTGAGCCCCCTGGGCGGCCCATAGATGAGTTGATGTTTGAGAGCCACTTGTCCATACCGGCAGCCCTCAGCTTTTAAGGTACATCAGAATTGTCCCTGGCATTTCTGATTCAGGAGGTCCAGGGTGGGGCCTGAGGGTTTGCGTTTCTAATTTCTAACAAGTTCCCAGGGGATCCTGATGGCCCTGACCCAGGGACCACATTTGGGCAAACACTGGTCTGCATTAGTGCTTTTTAAACTTCAATGTGCCTATGACTCACTTGGAGAATCCTGCTAAAATGTAGATGCAGGTCCACTAGGTCTGAAACGGGACCCAGGAGTCACCTTTCCAACAGGATCCCAGGTGAAGCTCACAGTCCAAAGTACATAACAGGGTCTAGAGCAGAGTTTAGCAAACTAGGGCCCACAGGCCAAATCCAGGCCACTGCCTTTTTTTGGTAAAGTTTTATTAGAACTCCACCTCACTCATTGATTTACCCATTGTCTCTAGCTGCTTTTGCAGCATCAGAGTTGAGTGGTTGCAGTAGAGACCACATGGCCTGCAAAGCCCAAAATATTCACTGTCTGGTACTTTATCCAAAAAAAAAGTTTGCAGACCCTGGTCTAGAACGATCACTGATTTTCAAATTTGGCTGTATGCTGGAATCACCTGGAGTCTTAAACGCTACTGATCCTACTTCTAGAGATTCTAATGTTACTGGTATAAGGTTCAGTTTGGGCATCCAGGTATTTGTAAACTTCCCAAATGATTCTACTGTGCATTTGGGAACCACTGGTCCTCTGGACGCTCTCCCAGCCCCTATCGCTGCACCAGACCTTCCGTCCAGCACACCCTTAGCGGGGCTCTGCTTCCGGGCTTCTGGTTCATCAGCCGCTCTAATTAAACAAGACAGTGTGGGAAGGGCCTGAGCGGTGCCCCTCCCCAGGGGAGCATTCTGGAGGTGTTTCCCCTCGTTTGGATATGTGAGGTTTGGCATACCCGTTCACAATAAACAAACGGGCATTTCCATCCCTTCCAGCTAAACCTCGTCTAGACTGAATGTGCTACAAAGTCCATCTGGCCTTCCAGCCTACTGAGAGAGTCACAATTGTCTCCAGACCGTGGCATGAAGCCACTCACCAGATGTGCTCCTGGCAAAAAAATGTGAATTGTCCTTCTTGGAAAGAAAGGAAAGATCTACTGGCAACGGGAAGTGGGTTTTCAAGCCTCCGTTTCCAAACGCAGTGCACAGGCCCTTGGCAACGGGCTGCAGTTGAAGCCCCCAGGAGTCCCGTGGTCCAACACTTGCAGAGTCCTTCAGGAAACCTCAGACCCTGACTTCAGAAGAATTGTTATTTAAAAAGTCATATGGGCGCTGCCGGCAAGTCAAAAATTAAAAACAGTTCCGTCACGTCATTATACATTTTTCCAAATCGATAGAATGGACGACACCAGGAGTGAACTCTAATGTCAGCTGTGGACTCCGGCCGATCATGGTGTGTCAGAAGGTTCCTCAGTTGTGACAAATGTACTGTGCTGGGGGGATGCTGATAGTGGGGGGTGGGGGGCACCGTGCATATGTGGGGGGCAGGGGCTACATGGGAAATCCCTGTGCCTTCCCTTAAAACTACTCTCATAATGGGGGTGTCTGGGTGGCTCAGTGGTCTAAGCATCCAACTTGGGCTCAGGTCATGATCTCGCGGTTTGTGAGCTCAAGCCCCGCATCGGGCTCTGTGTTAAGGGCTCGGAGCCTGCTTCGGATTCTGTGTCTCCCTCTCTCCCGGCCCCTCCCCTGCTCACACTCTGTCTCTCTTGCTCTCAAAAATAAATAAACATTAAAAAAAAAACCACTCTCATAAATAAATAGTCCCACTACTTCTCAACATACTGTGGAGCTTGGGGGCTTCAAGAAGCATTGAATGGACATATATTATTTTCACTCAAGAACCACATTCCCCTTGGGGCCCCTGGGTGGCTCAGTCGGTTAAGCGTCTGACTTTAGCTCAGGTCATGATCTCACAGTTCGTGGGTTTGAGCCCCACATCGGGCTCTGTGCTGACAGCTCAGAGCCTGGAGCCTGCTTCGGATTCTGTGTCTCCCTCTCTCTCTCTGACCCTCCCCCATTCGTGCTCTGTTTCTCCCTGTCTCAAAATTAAACATTTAAAAAAAAATTTTTTTTTTTAAAGAACCACATTCCCCTTACTCTGGAGTCATAACTGCCTTCAGGAAGGTGTTTCAACTCTACCAACTATGCGAGCTGCCACCTTCCTCAGCCTCTGTGCGTCTGGCCGCAGCTGACCCACTCAGGAAGAAGCCCTAATTCAATTTGGGCCACTCAGGACCACCCTGGCCTCAAGGGGTTGGCCTAGAGCCGGGCTTCTGACTCACCCTGGGCCAGTCTGTTCCCTGGGATGTCAGAGCAGACAAAATGAGCCCCAGTCCCTCTCTTGTGGGGAAGCTGAGCTTTGTAGGGAAAGGAGTGTCAGCACATTTCCCAGGATGGGGACAAAGCCAGCCTGAAAGAATGAAGCCAACATCCAGATAAAGATGGGATGGGGAGAGAGTGCTTGCAGCATTCAAGATTCCCCATCCCCATTGTCCCTGATGCACAACCGTGTCCCTTCTCATGATCATTTGACCCAAGACATCCTCTCTGTGCTTAAAGTGGTTTTAATTTGGTTTCTGTTACATACAACTAACTGGCTACTGTAGGGAAACGCCACCAGGAAAAGCATGTTGGTGAAGGGCTGCGATGAACCAGGGTCCCTCAGCTGGACCCAAGGTGCAGCACCTCTTGGGTGGAGCTTCGAGCAAAGAAAATAAGGGGTGCACAGTTTTCTTGATACTATAGGAAGGAGGAAAGGACACATATTGGCTGTGTTTTCTGCAGCAATAACACTACATAACTAACTCCAAAGCTCAGAATCTCAAAAAGAAACATTTATTTTTTGTACTCCAGGCATAATGGTATCATTCTACTGAGGTGGACTGGATTATTCTCAATTCTTCACTCCCTCTCTGTGATAGAAATGCATGCCCTTTGCCATGTGGTTCTCCAGCGCCTCCCATTAGAGTAGATTCTTCTCCATTGCTGTGGGATTTGATCACGTGACTTGTCTTAGCCAGAGGAACATGAGGAGAGGTGAAGTGGGCAGAGACCAAATGTGCTTGCACAGTCTGACTTGGCTTCTTGTGCTCCATCACTGCCTGAGAAAAGCGTGCCCTCGGTAGATGCTCCTTCCAGAGTATTGTTAGGTGAAGCAGACCTCAACCCGGGGCCAAGCTGGCCAAGCCTAACAGAACCACAGCTGACACACAGGACCACATGCTTGGTGCTGCATGCCAGTGAGTCTGGAACTGTTTGTTTGTTACCCGGCATTGTTTCGGCAGCCAGTGAGTCTGGAACTGTTTGTTACCCGGCATTGTTTCAGCAGACACCTGACTGACAGATGACGCAACTAATGTAGGTCGTACTTACTGTAGCACAGCCACTGCACTAGATGCTTAGCGTGTGTCCTCTTACTTAATCCTTCAACTCAGTGAGGTAGATACGATTATACCTGGTTCATAGATGAGGCAGTGGAAGGTCACAGAATCTATTTTCCCAATTCAACAGTACAGATAATGATGGAACAGAGATTGACAGGTACTGACTCGGTAGATTGCTCAGCCCTTAACAACACATGGGGACTTTTCTTCATTTGAGTTAGGAAAACAACCAAACACATGTTCCAAAGGGTCCCAGCCTTGATTATTGTATTTACATTAGCATCAGATCCATTATGATACAGGAGAAAGGAGCTCAGTGGTGGCTGTTGCTGTCAGCCAGAGGGAGAGAAAGTTCCATCTAGTTCCCAGCAGGCTGAGGGAAGAGGCCTGATGCACAGGTTCAATGTGTGGAAAAGGTCATATGTACCCCTGTGGCTCTGGCCTGTCTAGGTACCCTTCCTCCCTTCCCCCTTATGAGTAAAACATCAGTGTTCTTCAGGTGACAAAGTACCCAGCTCGAGAGATGAACCATAATTGATTGGTCCAAACTAGTCGTGCCATCTTACTTCCCTTTGCCAGGTACTAGGTCCAGGTGTGGGCATCCAGCCTGGTTCTGGAAACTTAGATGCTGAGAAAGGTCTACCATGTGCTTCTGGGAAAGCTATGTCTCCCTAATAAGAGAGGAACACCTTCTCCCTTTCTGCCTGGTCACTGGAGTGAGGACATGACGCTCAAAGCTGGTGCAACCATACTTCAGTCATGATAGAAGACATCACCCACCACACTGGGAATGACAGAGCAGTAAGGCTGAAAGATCTGGGTCCATGACTACATCACTGAGTTGTTGAAACAGCCCTATAACTACCTAATTTCCTGTTATGCAAACAATCTTATACGTTAGGCCAGTGGTAGTTTGGCTTTCTATTATTAGCAGCCAAATGCATCTGTCTTAGTTATCTATTGCTGCATAAAATCACCACAAACTTAACCATTTAAAACAACACACATTTATCATCTCATTTTCTGGAGGCCAGAAACCCAAGCATATCTGGGTCTAATGCTTCAGGATCTCTCAAGAGGCTGCAGTCAAGGTTTCTGGTCAGCCTGGGGTCTTGTCCGAAGGGACTCTAGTTTGTGACACATTTTGGGTCCTTGCTGGCTGTTAGCTGGAAGCTACCCTCAGCTTCCTGCCAACATGACTGCTCCACAGGACAGCTCAGAGAACAGCATCAAAGCCAGTAAGGGGAGTCCTTCAGCACAATGGAAGTCAGAATCTTCCATGATGTACTCACACAGGGGACAGACATCCCTTCACCCTTAGCATACTCCATTGGTTAGACACAATTATAGGTCCCACCCACTCACATGGAAGGAATTACACACGGGCATGTGTGCCAAGAGGTGTGGGTTATTAGAGCCGCCCTGCAGCCTGCCC